ACTCCTCACCCTGGGCAAACTGGGAGACTGGGCACCCTCTTTCTACCCGAGTCTCACTCCACCATGATTGGCTGCTATGGACTGAATGTTTGTATCCCCTAGTGGATAGAGTGTCGGCCTGTGGACCGAAGGTCCGATTCTGGTCAAGGGCAAATGGCTGGGTTGCGGGCTCGGTCCAACGTGCAGGAGGCAGCCAATCAGTGATTCCCCCTCATCATTGATGTTTTTATCTCTCTCTTCCTCTCCCTTCCTCTCTGAAATAAATAATATATATATATATATATATACAGGTGGGGCATTGGGAGGGGATTAGGTCATAAGTGTGGATCCCTCAGAAATGGGATCAGGGTCCTTAGGAAAAACCCCCCCAGAGCGTATCCAGCAAAAAGACAGCAATGATAAAACCAGGAAGTGAGCTCTCACCAGACACCCCATCTACAGGCACCTTGATCTCGGGCTTCCCAGCCTCCAGACTGTGGGAAATGAACTTCTGTTTCTTATGAGCCACCCAGTTTGTGGCAATTTGTCAATAGCCTGAACGGTGTGAGACAATGGAGAAGGTCGCAGTTTTTAATTTTCAGTGTAAAAGAAGAATCCTTTAGAAATTATCCAACAATTGTTGTCTGGTCATTTAAAATCCAACTGCTACCAAGTAAAAAATCAGAGATTCACTCCAGTGCACCAGCTGTCCTTCTAGACAGAATTGGACCAACAGAGAGCTCAATTCCATCTCAGCTTTCGTCTTACCGACTCCATGCAGATTAACCCGCTTCTGTTAAGACCTCATTTCTTCAGGGAGAATAAATGTGGTTATTAACATATACTGGTAAGCTTTTTGCATTAAACTACAATCCAGTTATGCTTCCCGAAGTTGGTAACAGCTGCATTTTAAGAGATCAGAGAAGAGTAATTTCTAAAGGACTCTTCTTTTACAATTTGCGTCATCCTTTGTATATCCAATCCTTATAATGTAACGATAAATTGATGGATAATAGTGAAGAATATTCACATTCTGTCTCGCCCAAAGTTCATGTGTATTTCCATATTTATGCATTTGAATACTGTATGTAAAAGTATATAAAACAATTATGGGGTTGTACTGTACATACAAATTTGTACACTGCTATTTTGAAAAGTACTTAAGTACTGAAAATATATGAAATAATATTTATAAAAATATCTGAGATATGCACATTAATAATAGTACAATAATATTTTCAACCCCAAGTTTATTTTTTTAAAAATATATTTTATTGATTTTTTACAGAGAGGAAGGGAGAGGGATAGAAAGTTAGAAACATCGATGAGATAGAAACATCAATTCAGCTGCCTCTTGCATGCCCCCTACTGGGGATGTGCCCACAACCCAGGTACATGCCCTTGACTGGAATCGAACCTGGGACCCTTCAGTCCGCAGGCTGACAGTCTATCTGCTGAGCCAAACCGGTTAGGGCATCAACCCCAAGTTTAAAACTAGGATGTTTAAATACCTGTGGAGCCCACCTGCTCCGACCAACCAGGCCCTGGCTTCCCTGCTGTACTCATTTATTGGCTCCTAAACTACTTTTGTTCTCAGACCCCTTCTTGTCTCCGCTCTTGTCCTATTGGCTGTTTCAGGAAGGTATATTCCCAAGCATCTCTGGCCTTCAATTTCCCTCAAGGCTAGCTGTGGGAGGCACTGGGAGAAGCTAGGATACTTCGCCCTTTCTCCTCTGGTGTCTCCAGCAATCCTGTTTCTTTTCTGAGGGCCCAGTTCCTGAGAGATGCCCCTCCTTCCATGAAGCCAGCTCCACTAGACAATGTTGACCTTGGTTCCAGCACCTGCCTGCTCTCTGGCCTCTGGACTCTAATAACAACACCTCCTACCACTGACCTTCTAGCCCTGGGGCATCACCGGTCTCTGCTCTGATGCAGCTGACTCACCATTCCTGGTTTGGTTTCCTGCTCTGATGCAGCGGACTCACCATTCCTGGTTTGGTTTCCATCACCTGTGTCATCCATCACCTCTATTAAATCTCCTCCGCTTGAAAGACCAAGAGTGTCTGATTTATAAATGGGCACTAAAAGCTCTTCTATCTCTAGTTTGCTAAAAAGATTTACCGAGCTTAATTATTTAATTTTATTGAATGCTTTTCCTCCTTGAACTTGTTAGTGTGATGAATCACATTTATAGATTTTTTTCTATTGTTAAAAAATTCTTGTGTTCAGGGACTAAACCTAGTTTGCATACTATATTTTTTTATTTCAATAATTGCTAGACTTCGTTTGCTAATTTCTAATTTAGAATTTTTGCCTTAGGTTCATGAGGGAGATTGGTTATAATTTTCCTTTATTATACATTTCTTTTTTACGGTAGATGGAAGTTTAACTTCTGAAATGTTATTTTTCAATTCCAGTTTGAATTCAATATTATTTTATTTTATTTTTTTATTATTATTTTTAAAAAATATGTTTTATTG